CAATTGAAGAGAAAAATGAGACTTTCAAGAGTGTTAGGTCTAAAATTGGACTCATCAGTCACATTATGGTTAATGGACACTTGTGTATTTGTGAGCTAAATGCATCAAACTGTCTTTCCAATGTGTTCAGCGCAGCCCCTTGGGGGAGAGGAGGGGCAGGAGGAAGCAAGGAACCACTGAAATACTCAGCTACCCTCTGCTTATGAAAAGATGATTTCTGCAAAACAGAAAATGTTCAGAAAATTGGAGATGCTTATTTATTTGCATATTTTTCTAACCTCCCAAATAAACAGAAATGCCTATAAAGCAAACCCCTATTTATTTGCAACAACAACAACAAAAAACAAACACTGAAGTTGGGTAGGGGGCAAGATGTGATTAAGTGTCTACTCACAAAAACACCACAAGCAAACTTGCAAACAGGTTTGTTGAGAGAAAGTGAGGTATATCAGCCCTTCCCATATGTTTCCTTCCATCTTAGATATACCCATATGCCATGAGCAATCCATACCATCTCCATGACCACTAAGCATTTCAAGGACAGGCAAGGCTTAGGTGCTCTCTCTCCCAGTGGCATATAGAGAATTCCAGGCCAAGAGAAGGGGGTGTGGCTTAATCCTGCAGCTGCCCAGAGGCCTGGACCAGGGTACCAACAACAGACTAGTACACAATGATGACCTTCTGGAGATCCCTGCTTTAAAGAAATGCATGCAGAGCTGGCTCTGGGTATAAGAGGATGTAGAGACAGATAAATGTGTAACAATATTATATGTAATAATATAAGTATATAATAATGTAAATACTTTTTTTCTCTCTCACACCCCAAACTATCAGCCATCTGGATAAGAAGTTACTTCTTAAAGAATTTTCCTAGAGTTTATAAGCAAGCATTATATTGGATTATATAGAGACCAAAGACAATAGACTGTTTGAGGCAGACAGATATGAAAATATGTGCCCAATATAATGTGCTCTTTAAATGCTAAAACATTTGAACAATAAACTAGCTTCAACCATGAACTACCATCTCCTCTGACCACAGGGAGCCTTAAAGGATGAATCAAATCAAGTCAATGAAAGAACTGCAGGGTCCACTTAGAATAACATAAACTCAACAAAACATTTTCAACAAAGGAGCCTGTGCAAGTTGCCTTTCACTATATGAAATGTGAAAGCTATATCTACCACTATGTTTAATGCACAATATTCTACCTACTAAAATAACCAGTTTTCAAAATGAATTGGCCAAAATCTCTCAAAGTCTACACCAAGATATTCAAACTCTCAGCCAGATTCATCAATAACCTCTCCAAAGTCTGTCATTCCCATATCACCTATAATTCCTTATTAGAAATTTTAAAGCTGGGTCTTAATACTTTTATAGAAAAACATCAATGTGCAAAGAGAGTTTCAGCAAGTATTTTATGAGTAGTGTGTTTTCCATCAGAATCCATGATACACTTTCTACTTTAGCAGCTGCATCATGACTCATCCAGATCTAAAGCCAATTTCCTCAAAGAAGAAATTCGCATTAGAAGCTATACCATGTGAAATGTGCCAATTACGGTCTAGAATTTACAATCCACTGTCACTACCTGAACCAAAACTATTCCCGAAGCGGCCATAAAAACAACTGTCTTCCAGATGCATAGCCCCAGATAGGAAGATCAAGATGCTTCATGATACCTGTCTTCTCTACTATGAGTGACATCAGAAATGTACTATCCAATAAATAGAAGTCACTTTCCCATCAGTTATAAGGATAATCTCAAAAAGCTATAAATAGGTAAATGAAACAACAGAACCAAATAAATTTAACAATAAATTAAAATATGATCTATAAACTGACATTTCCATTTCCTCCCTCACATTTTGAAGATAAACAAAATACACTTTGGTATCATATCATTTTCATTCCCAAACTGCAGAACACCTCTCAAACGGGACTGGCCACCTTCCCTCCCAAAACCCTTAAGAGAGAAGCTGGTCAGTTAAAGGCAGAAACTTATGCACTCACCTCCTCCCTTATTTAAATGATGGAAACACCCCTCTAGTGTCCAGAAGTGGTTGTCTTAGGATGACTCCACTTGTCTGTAGTGGTAGATGAGGAAAATGAAACTACACAAGGTAATCAGTTTCCAAAAAAAGCTCAAAATGATGAGTCTGGGTGGCCTGCATTAAGTGTGTATGTGTCTCTAGGTATAAACTTCTTTTATCTTGTCTCTTCCTCCCCTATGGCATGGAGTTGAGATCATTATACTTTTGACTATTTGGGTAACTGCAATTCTCATATTTTTTTTTTTTTTAAATACAAGGCCAGATATCCCTTCTAGCCAGTAAGGACCATGAAACTACTTCAGTCATTTCAGTCCACAGTGTTCAAGGAATTCAAACCGATTTCAGTATCTGCCTAAGTAGTAAAGTAACAGACAGGTTTTTAAGAGGGGGCCCTTTTTTTACTCAAAAAGTACATCCCAAAGTCAAAAAGCAAAGGTATGGCTTTGGTAATCAGGACAAGACTTAGCTTTACCAAATAGATTGATTAAATTAAAGATAAGCAGTTACTCTCAAAGTAAACATAACACATTATAAATCAGATTCTCTGGGACTTTTCAGTAAGCTGAAAAGACTCAAAATTGCTATGTATATCTTTCTAAGTATAGAAAATATTAGAATCTGATTTTCTTGTAGCTTTCCATTGACCCAAACTATTATAATACTCCTTCAACTGAACTCTACTTGAAAACCTCACCTTGTTTAAAGGTGGTGAATCAAAGTGGCTGAAACTGCAGGGGGCAGTATAAGCACAACTTCCAATATAATTCTTAAGATTTAAGAAAATTCTTCCAGCTAGCCTTAGCCTTTAAACTATTAACATATTTCAAAGACTCCACATAAAAATGATTTTTTAAAGATAATTAATTGAAATTCTTCTCCAGATTTAACAATGGGGGTTAGGGGGAGGAATACACTACACTCACTCAGGTCAGTATTCATCCATATAACATAGTCCAGTCAAAAATAGAACAAGTTTGTTTAAAAAAGAACTTCTTATCCACACTCTTAAAAAAACAGAGGTCATCATTTAAAACTATAAAGCTCACTTACTCATGAGCTACTTACTATTTCAGAATGTATCTTCAATCACTTTTAAGCATAAATAAGTAAACTCTTAAAGTATGACTGATTCATCACTGGAGAAAAATGTAATAAAATATTCAACATGATATAAGTATAACTTGAGAAAATTAAAGTTATTTTAAGATGAAGAGAAAAGAAAAACTTAATTTTGCTCAATTTTGTATTTATAGTTGCCATTACAGTATATCCCCCAGCTACTCATTAGCCTTCTTTTTCTTTCCCTGGACCCACACTGACTCCATGCACAGATTATCTTAGGACATTGTCTTATGCACAAAGGACAGTAATTTGCAATTAACAATTGAATTAAGATAGATGAAGCTTTCCTTGTGTGTGTGTGTTTTGAGTAAAGGTAAGATCTGGTAGTTAGTATATCAATCTTCTTTCTTGAAGCACTTTTCTCCTTTCCTCCATGATAATTAACCTTTTCTTGACATTGTAAATATGTGTCATTGACAGTTACCATAAATATTCACCTCATATATATCATTTCCAAAGCACTTCATAATAGCAATAATTACTAACTTTTAAGGGGTGCTTACTATGTGCCATACAATGACCTAAGTGGTTGTCACACGTTAATTCGGTTAATCTTCAGAACTCTATGAAACAGAAATTACCCCCATATTATAAATGAGAAACTGAGTCAAGGAGAATCTGTGAGGTGCCCAGGGCTAATGACTGGTAGATGTGGTATAAGATGCATCAGTCACAAGAGGAGGGAACAACATACCCCAAGTTAGATGTCTCTCTCAGGGACCACACTACAATAGAACTTGTACCCATCATATATGTTCACCTTCTTTGAATACACTTGGGCCAATCTGAAGGCATTAATAGGATAGATTAAAATCTACAAAGAGTGACCAAAAGTGTAGCTCTACAACTAAGCAGGGTAATAAACAGAAAACAGGGCTAAGACTTCTGGTAAACTCCTGGACAATTTTCGTAGGGAAAAGCAAGGCCTGGCATGACTGGGTAGGTGCTCTGAAATGAGGGTGTAAACAAAAGAGACACAATCCAGTCAACTTGGGAAGACCTACTCCATTCACCTCCTACCTCAAACTCATCACTGTTTTATCTTCATATCTTATTTGATTTCCCAAGTAGTGTTCTCAACCAGAAAACTAGTGGCTCACTATAATCCTCTAAATAGACTGATACAAATCTATCTTCTAAAAGTTTGATCAACAAAAGTCAGTCTTCTGAAGGCCTCAATATCTCCAGGACAAATTCATCCTCAAAGTTCCAGATTATAAGAACAAGGAAACACTCATAGATTGCAACAAATTATAGCAAACTTGAGAGCCTCCCCACTGAATTCCTCAATGTCTTCAGTTAACCAGAGACCAACTTAACAATCACACTGTACAAGTCACACTTCACAGAGCATAGCTTCAGGATATAGATCTGTCAGGCTTATGAGGAAACTTCCCTTCCACTTTAGATACTTCAAGACAGCTGAAATTTTTTCTTCTCTAATATATTACTTTTGGGGAAGAGGAGTTAACTTCAGGAATTTTCCTACTGAACATATTAAGAAAATTTAAGTACCCAAACACCAGTAACTTTAGCATTCATGAATCTCACAGAAAGGTGCGGGGGGGGGGGGGGGGGGGGGGGGGGGG